GTAAGTAATAGTTGCCAAGCTTCTTGTTTAGAAGGCTAATTAATTAATTTAAGTTCTTTCTAAGCTTTCTTTGTTTTGTCTTTGTACATCAAAGAAAAAGTTTAAACTAAAATAAAATTTTTATGTCTGCTTGACGTCACAGAAGTACACATGTGTCTGTTTTTGTTTACCGGTACATAGCATTCACACCTTTACATCACTATGTTGGTGCATGGCACAATGTGAAAAAGGTTGCATTAGAACAGTCTTAATATTGTCTTGACGTAAAAACCTTTCTCTGTATGGCATGGGCAACCAGCATATGCCATTTTCAATTGAAATGACATTAATGATCTGCATCGTCTAAGTCAAACTAAGATGGCAATACTGTCACGTGCTGTGAACTTTTCAGCTTCTCACAAAATTCGTAATACTGGGCATGCAAAAGCCAATCTGCAGGTATGTGTCACATGTTTTAATGATGAACAAGTTATGTACATGTCAAGTATACAAATAACAAACTAATGTGGTGACTATTTTCAGAATGCTTCAAGGGAAGTCATTGCAGCCAATGTTATTCACCAGTCTGATCAAATACTTCGCAAATGTATTGCTGAGGAAATGAACAAAAGAAAAGGTAATGGAAAAATTAACCTCTATTCGGGGGTCTCCTATTCATTGCCTGCTGACATACTCCAGTAGAAGCTTTCACAAGGTGATTTGTTAAAATGTTCACAATAGGAGAAATACCTGTGAGATGACAGCAGGACAGAGCAACGCATCTTTTATATTTTCAATTTGTGAAAATGTCCACAGTGACTAAATTTGCACATTTTGGGATAATAAAATTACAAAATATTAAAATAAATATAGTACAAATAAAATTAAAAAAAACGCCTTACAATAAATCGGATTTGAATCACTATGCATCATATGTCTTATATAATTTATTAGTGCCCATTCGAACGAAGTTCGAAAACGGGGACTTATAATTCAGTCTTTGTGTGTCTGTTGAAACTTTATGTGGGACATTTATGTGCGATTCGATTCAAAATGGCCGACTGGCAGCCATCTTGTTTTTTGAAAATGTCGTATTTTGGACATACTTTGTCAGTTTTCATTCAAACTTGGTACTTAGATTATACATGTTAGGATACATGTTCATGACAATTTCTTTTGCAATTGGATCAAAGATGGCCGACTATGCTATGTCTTAAACTGGAGGGGTCGTCACGCAACACATTTTCGAATTTGATGTAAATAAACAATCTGTTGTAATTGACATTTGGGACTCAAGTTTCAAGGACATGCTCACGACAACCCCTCCGCTTTAATATGACGAGCACAAAGAGAACATTCAAAAATTTAACGGGGACTGTGTCATTTTGAATGACTTGTTCAACATTGTTGTGTAATATATTGTTTTTGAAACACATTGGGAGCGACACATTGCTCTTTATTTGATAGGAGGGCGAAGATGTGGTAAGATGTGTTAGTTAAACACATTGAACTAAAAGAATGGACGCTGGTTAATCCTGGGGTTTTTAGGTTTATAATCAATTTAAAAGCTTATCTGTTTTTTTTTTGTGTTTTTTGCAGTTTCTGGAAAATTGACGAAGTCAGCATTAAAAGAACTTGGTACTCAGCTATCTGTTTTGAAAAACCGTATCCTCGATGATATTCGGAATCAGAAAATACAACTAGACATTGACACAACAGATTTCATATCAGACCTTCAGAATCATGTAACAGCAATCTTTTTGAAAAATGTTGGCAGTTGAACACTCAACTTTTAATTTTCAGACAAATTTATCAATAAATTACACATTTTCAATTGTTTCTGTGTAATAGCATTTAATATTATAGTAAAAGATCATATAAGACATCAAGATGATGAGATTGAGAGAGTCATAAAACTTGTTGTTGCCCCTCAATAGTATTCCATCTTCTGTCGTCATGGTATCCACTGTTCTCCTGAACTATGTAACAATGGATGCGATTGATGAGAGAGAACTTTATTTGGGGGAAAAACAACACTTATGATTATTCGTGTCTATTATAGCGCCACAACTCTTGTGTATCACATGTTTGAGTTTCATGTGATGTATTTTACACATGTTGTAGCCATATGGGAGCCATATTAAACATGTGGCATAATGACTGTGGTGCCCAACTCGCATGTGGTGTCAGTATCCCGCAACAAAAATGCAAAATCTCTAAATGTTGGAAGAAAATATTTTCTCACTAATGCTTGTTTGCAGTCCCGTATTTTACATAAATAAAATTCTTGAGATCTGTTTAATTGGCTTGTAAATTCAAAATCATAGAATACTGTAAAATACTTCACTATTTTCGCTGAAGGAATGATTCAGTGAAAATAAAATCCAGCGAATATATCTTTTTAGCTCCGCTGTTGACTTTGTAGAGCTGAGCTTATCATGTGAGTGATTGTCCGGTGTCCGGCATCCGTGTCAATGTTTTACTTATTCGACTTCTTCTTGAAAACTACAAGCCTGAATGCTTTGATACTTGGTGTATATGTACCTTGGGTAGACCTCTCTCAGATTTGTTCATTTCATGATCATATCTTCAATTCTCTAATTTTGGTGAATATTTTTGTCATTTTTGGTAAAAAGTGATATTTTCGACTTGTTAAAAACCGCAAATCCAATTGCTTTGATATTACATATATAGGTACTACATGTGAATCTATCTCAGATTTGTTCATTTTGTAATGATATCTTTATTTCTCTGATTTTGGTGAATGTTTTTGTCATTTTTGGTAAAAAGTGATACTTTCGGATTGTTAAAAACCACAAGTCCAATTGCTTTGATATTACACATATAGGTACTACATGTGGACCACTCTCAAATTTGTTCAATTCATGATGATATCTTCAATTCTCTAATTTTGATGAATATTTTTGTCATTTTTTGGTAAAAAGTGATATTTTCGACTCCTTGTTAAAAACCGCAAGTCCAATTGCTTTGATATTGCACATATAGGTACTACATGTGGACCACTTTCAAATTTGTTCATTTCATGATGATATCTTTAATTTTCTAATTTTGGTGAATATTTTTGGTAAAAAGTGATATTTTCTTGTTAAAAACCACAATCATTTATGGTGAAAAATGATATTTTTGGATTCTTGTTGAAAACAGCAAGTCCCATTGCATTGATACTATGCATATTGTTCATTTTCTAATGATATCGTCTGTTCTTTAATTGAAATGTTAATTGCTAACAGCGGAGCTATATCAGCCGAGAGGCTGCTTGTTTAAATTCAAACTCATCAAAAATCAGTGAAAATAAATTCCATACAAAATACCCAAAAAGTCTTTTCAGCAAATATTAATTCCAGTTAAAATAAGTATTTTACAGTAGTAGTTATTTGTATAGAAGTGTTTGTTGAGTTAGAGGATAAACTTTGTTTGGGTGCCGTTTAAAAGTTTCTATATATATGTAACCATGGACAACAGTAGGTCAATGATACAACTCAACAAATTTTGTCCACATGCCAATTGCTAGATTATAACAGTGACCCTAACAAAGCTTATCCTGTAAACTAATGGTTCTGAGTTAGGATTTCCAACTTGTACCATGACGAAAACGATAAAATTGAAATATTCAGTAAATCATTGCATTGCTTCTCGCAGAACAATAAATGGAGATCATTTACTTAAAATCAATCATGATTGTTATTGTATACTTTATCATTTGCTAATAGGTAATTGAGTGCTCACCATTGACCATTACATTATAAGAATATGTAATACCTCAGTCATGGAGGCTCTACCTGCAGTGTTGTGGCCGATGTGGCTTAAAGTTAAAGAAGAACAACAGAAAAGCTGTTCTCTCTACTTGGTTTATGTGAGAACAATCTTGTTGCGATTTTAAGAACGAGGGAACTTGCAAGTGGGGACTGTTTTGAAACAAAAACTCCGCTATCGAAGGTTTGCAGACTGATAGAACAAGAGACCGGCCAAAGAGTAGTACATTGTTTTTTATAGCAATAAATGTGCAAACAGAAGAATTGGTCAAATGGTTAAGAGTATTTTATCTCACAGAAGTAATTATTCGGGAAAAAATCCCGTATGACGCAACACTAATTCATTCATTAAAGTACCTGTGCAATGCCCACCCTCACGTTTCCCATTTTAGATCTGTATCCCACTGAAATGGGCAGTTATTGATTTTTTTCCCAGGGGGGGGGGGGGATTGACACGAGAGGGCGCCATCCGATCTGAATGGAACGTTTCGACGTCAGTCGCCCGTAGCCATCGTCAAAGCAACAACGTCCCGTTTACGAACAGATGAAATAATTTCAGCAATTTCTTTACAGAACTTGTCACTGATAAAAGTCACCGAAAACATTTTGAGCAATTTTGAGCAATAGTACTAGAGTGAAATTTAAACGTGCCTCTGCATTCTCCATGAATTTCGTAACTTGCTATGATCATGGTAAAGAGAAAACCTATGCTTACTTTCAACAGTTAGCTGGAGTCTGATCGAAAACGTGTCTCAAAAAATACCTTTACATCATTTTTCCGATGATTTTTTCAGCTCGTAACGATAGAATCAGTCAATTTAGAACTAACATGTATGCTATCGGAAAGCATTTTGGCACAATATTACTGAAAAAACGAGTTTTTCATTGCTCATGAATATTAATTTATGCAAATGAGACGATTATTTCAACCAATCGTGTCATGCAACTCCCCCCCCCCCCCCTGGATCTCCCATAATATTTGCTTTGATCGGGTTTTATCGCTAGTGATGAATAGTCTGGGGTATATTAGCGGATAATGTTTTGTTAATACATGTAACTGTTTATTTGGACACGGGAAAAACGTTTTCTGCATAAAATAATTTATTATGGTGATTGATGCTCTGTGATATCGAATGGAATCAACTTCTTTCTCTCTAGCCCAAAGTTCGACATGTTTGACGCAAGTTACTGCCCCCTCATCGATCAACTCAAACACGAAGTAGTTTGCAACCAAGAACGTCGGCGATGCACAATAAAATCATGTCCATTGTAGTATTTCAACTTCTGCTTCACAACTCAACATTTTAACGAGAATTTGGAGATTTACATTTTACATGTACCATCAAATTCCTACAGTAATAGTCAACTTTCCACAATCTGTGGCTTATACATATTCTTTTTGTCAAATGTGTGGACAATGAGCCTAAGTACTGTAACATACTCAGCCTTTATTCTCGCTTGGAATTAATCTTCGCTATTTTCGCTGAAGTAATGATTCAGTGAATATAAAATCTAGCGAATATACCTTTTTCTTATATTTTACATTCAAACTCACCAAAAATCAGTGAAAATAATTTCTATACAGAACACCCAGAATGGCTTTTCAGTGAAAATCAATTCCAGCTAAAATAAAGTATTTCACGCATGACGAATCATCTGGATTACGCATAGCTTCTCTGCGATTTACGCTCCGTAGCTTGGACCCCCCCCCCCCAATACATTTTGCTGGATCCGCCACTGCTATTGCGCACTGGCAGGTCATCTCAAAATGACTCGTATCACTTGACGGATATACACCATATGTTTCTAATAAAAGACGATATTTTTCATTTCATGGCTATTCATTCAGTGACTGTTTATTTTCGGAATAACTCGAGTTAGCAATTCTCTGTATTTTGGCTTCCAACATAATTTATGTGTGTGATAGTCGGACTGAATCTAAACTAGTGTTTGGTTTACGTTTTTCGATTGGTGGCTCATTTTCAGAGTAATAGTTTCGCCTGGAAAATTAAAAACATATTTAAATATTTTTGCTGAAATTTTGACATTTTTTTCCTTGGGGTGAAGCACTTTAAAATCTGCGATCACAGTTCCTCAATACTGTTGTAAGGCCAACCATCAATAAAATATTTTCCGTCGTGGTGTGTCAGAATCGAATTGCATATAATGAACCGCAAGTTTTACATTTTATTCAACAATTATTTTCAAATTTGACGTTTTCACAGAAATATATTTTGATATTTTATTTGTTTAATTTGAATGTATGCAATATTTCATTTCAATTGAAAATTCAATATTAATGAGTCAACGCTGTTAACTGTAGGTTCTTGTCAAGTGTTTCTTGTTTTGTTTTTGTTTTGGTCAAAAGAACCACAGGGGACCTGTTGGTTTCATGCAAAACCTGCAGTCGGACCGATGGGCCATCGTCACTTTTCAACACTGGTCGTCGGTGATGCCCAGCGGTGATGATACTCCCTTCCGAAAGATCTTTACGCCGGTGTGAAGGAATAAAGTAAATGGGGTTTAACCTATCACGTTATTTCGTTAGTTTAATATGTAACTAATTTATACGAAAATTTATTCGCACATTGAGATTGTTAATTCATGTATTGGCCAACATTTGCTAACGTGGCATGTAGCTACCTCGAAACGTTTCACCCTATCACCATGGAAGGAGTTGTTGTTTGTTCCTCGGAATTGTCCGAGGTGAGGGCTTTTGTCCGGGGTCGTTTTACAGGTTTTACAGGTGAAATGAGAGATTAAGACTAACGGAGGTTATGTGGTAATTATATAACTTTATTCAACGTGTCTTTGTCCTCAAATCCCCGTCAGTTTATACATGTAACCAATTGGATCATATGTCTTGTCGGTTTTAACTTGTACATATCATATTAGTTGAAGATCAAAGTATATGAGGGGGGAAATGTCTGTCGTTGTGGTGGTGGTGGTTGTTGTAGTTGGATACACGTTTTTTTTTAGTAACCGTGTTGGGTATTGACCACTTTGGCAGTGCTCTTGGCCAAGTTCGATTTTGGTACGTGTTCTATGTAAATTGTTTCAAGGTATTCATTGTATTTCAATTAAAATTGTCTTCTTCTTTTGGTTACAATAACTCAAAAACTTTTTTTATCTGATCATCTTCGTCCAATTTTGATGTAATTGGCAAGTGCAATTTTTAAGAAATGGGGTAAAATGTGACTGAAATAATTCATTATTCAGACGTAGAAATATATGCACAGAACGAAGACATTCAAATGCTAATATTGAGAGACAGATGTTAGTATCGCGTTCTCCAACATCTATCAAATAGATAAGTGTAGTAAACCGACATGTTGTTATGAGTATAAATAAAAATATGTGACGAGGTGCAGGTTTTCCCGCCCTTTTTTATACAGTACATGTAGTTGAGTACATTAATTGAGAAACGTCTTCCCAAATGTTGCTTCGA